CCTGCCTGCCTCTGCCTCCCAAGTGCTGGGATTAAAGGCGTGCCCCACCAACGCCCAGATAAATTTGAAATTACATTTTGTGTGGGGTGTGTGTGCATCTGCCATGACAAGAGTGTGGAGGTCAGAGGACAACTTTTGGGAGTTCATTCCCTCCTCCCATCATGTTATTCCTGGGGATCGAACTCAGATCGTAAGACTTGGCAGCATAGAACCATCTTACAGCCCCTGTTGCCTGTTTTTGAAAGCCATAGTCTGAGAGGGCACAGATGCCTGTTGACCCTCCATGGATTGTAGCTCTTTAGAGGACCCCCACTTCCAAGGCAGCACCTCAGTTCCTCTCCAGAAGCTATTCTAATGCTTCAAAAGAGTCCCCCCCCAATTGCCCTTGCCCAAGGGGGTACTATGACATAATTAAAGACAAAAAAATCTCTGAGAGGGTCTGGAGATGAGACCAGGTGCCTTCTTCTGGTAGGCAGACATGCAGAACACTGTATACATAATAAATACATCTTTAAAAAAACAAAACAAACTCTGAAGCTGAAAGAAATTTCTCGCCTTGCTTCTCACTAATATTCAGCCAGGACTCAACAAATATTGACTAAATGCCAACATGTGCCACTATTGCTGTGTGACCGTGGCACATGACTTGCCATTTCTCAGTTTCCTTATCAGGAAGCGAGGAATTGGGCTTAGTGATTTCTGAAGTCCTTTTGAGTTGTCATGAGTGGGAGACTAAATCATTCAAGTCCCTTATCCGAATGCAGCCTGGACCTTCCCCACTCCTGGCATTGAGTGATAAATGTAGCCATTGTGATTGGAGCCGATCAATGTCTACAATCTACAGATGTTTCCCCTTTTCACGGGGCGAGAGCCTTGAGGTAGCTTTAGGTGTATCCTATATCTGGGGCTATGTAGAATGGCACCCTCTGTCCCCATGCTGACCATTTCACACTGGAGCCACAGCACTAGAGGAAGGCTATCTCTGCCCTTAGCTCTGCCCACCACAGCTCTTTCTTCTTGCAGTCAGCACACCTGAAATACTTGCAGACACAGACTCTGTGCAGGCCATCAATCTGCCCAACTTCCTGTTTTCTGCCACTGAACCTGAAGACCCAAAGAAGACAAGTGATACTGGTGACCAGAAGGAGCAGCCTGTGGAGGAGAGGGTCTCCAGAGATGAGAGTCCTAAGAAGATGGGGAAGACAAGGAAGAGAAGTAAGACTGGGCGAGAGTCTGTCCGCATCTCCGGTGGGGGAAGCCTCGGGGGACTGGGAGGCCCAAGGACTGAGTGGATTGAGGCTATCTCTTTGGTCCAGCACGGGTAGACTAGAGTTTTGTAACTCTTGGCTTCATTAGGTGTCCATCCCAAAGCTGGCCTTTCTCATGCTGTTCCTATCTGCTTAGCATGTTCATAAAGTCCTCTAGCAATGCCAGTAGTCTCAGTTGGTTGGATCCTAGGTTGGGTGTTGGGACACCAGGCCTAGACTCTTGGCTAGTTCCTGGACTTTAGGGGCCTTCACTTATAAAAATGAGTCATGCTGTATGCTTATCTAGCTTCTATTGCACTTATGAAACGGACCATCTATGCAAGGACTTTGGGCTTTCCCAAGCCCCTGTGTTATTGATTTACTTAGGAGATGGCTGCTTGGTACTGTGCCAGTATGCCTACTCTTATCTCTGGAGTACACGGATCTGCACCACAAAACACCTTTAGGCTGTCCCCCATTCCAAAAGTTAGGGCAGGAATGTCTGGCCTAGCTGTTTTTCTAAAGGTATCTCTTTTGCAAACCTTGCATCTCCCAATGTGGTAGCCTTGATGTGGAGTTAGTTACCTTTAAGTACTGAAGTGGATGGTGCATTCACCATGGAGAAGGATTGGACCTCTTGCCTTAGTGACCTGGCTTGCCTGTGGTGGTTGTTCCTGACATACCCAGCTTGCTCAGCTAACTTTGGCCTCAGATTTCTGCTTTCCCACTTTCTCCTCACAGGCCGAAAGACAAAGAACAACCGAAGTACCTCACCTGTCACTGACCCCAGCATCCCCATACGGAAGAAATCCAAGGATGGCAAAGGTATAGTTGGTACTCAGGTGAGGTGGGCAGAGTGCGCCTTCACTTCAGAGGCCTGAGCTGCCCCTCACTGCCTACCCTTCTACAGGCAGCACCATTTATCTGTGGGAGTTCCTCCTGGCTCTTCTGCAAGACAGAAACACCTGCCCTAAGTACATCAAGTGGACCCAGCGAGAAAAAGGCATCTTCAAGTTGGTGGATTCCAAGGCTGTGTCCAAGCTGTGGGGCAAGCAGAAAAACAAGCCTGACATGAACTATGAGACTATGGGGCGCGCTCTCAGGTAGGACTTGTGGGGTCATAAATTCCGGCCACGGGGATTACCAAGTTCTTCCTGTGGCCAAGGAGACACTCCCACTTGAAGGAAGGCTTGACCAGTCAGTCCCCTCCAGGGTGTGAATGTAACATGCCCTTCTTCCTTCTCAAGACTCCTCTTGCATCTCTGTATTGAAAGGGTACTTCAGCTCTACACACACAGTCTTCTCACATTGCAGAAGCCAGAGATGGCCTTGGGTCGTCCCCGATGGCGTCTCAGGCCAGAGGATTGTTGAACCTCTTCCATTCATCCCTTCCATCACTCATTGCCACTCTTCACTCACACACTCACTCTTCACTCCTCACTTGCTCATTTACTCGCTTGCTCGCTGGCTCACTCACTCACTGTCCTCAGCCCCAAAGTAGTATGAGCTTGGCACTGAAGACCCTTTTTGTACATCTGTTAGACTATAAAAAAACTTTTTAAAATGTCATACAAAGTGTTTTGTGTTCAAGAGTTGGCCATCCCTCCCTACCACACCCACTCCTGGACTGCTCCACCCCAGTCTGCCCTGCCCTAGAGACTAGCATGTTGACAGAGGGAGAGATGGCCTCCTTACTCAACCTCTGGTAAACTCACCAATCCCCTCTTTGTCCTTCCAGATATTACTACCAAAGAGGAATTCTGGCCAAGGTGGAAGGGCAGAGGCTGGTGTACCAGTTTAAGGAGATGCCTAAGGACTTGGTGGTGATTGAAGATGATGATGAGAACACCGAAACACCAGAAGTGCCACCTCCCCAGGCTTCTACTTCCTCCACGCCCTCCACCAGCACCATCCGGAGAGCCAGCTCCAGGGCCTCAAACAGAGCTTCCGCCCAAGACAAGGATAGCCTTTCCTGGGAGAAGCCAAAGGTTCAACACGCTGGTCTCCAGCCATCTGCAAGCCTGGAGTTAGGACTATCTGTGGATGACGAGGTCCCCACTACCTCCACCTTGCTTGTCTCTCCAATACAGAGCCAGGCCACGCTCACCAAAACTGTGAGGTAAGGACACCAAAGTAACTGGAGTCTTCCTTTAGTCCCTCATGTTGGGTGTAGGGGGTCAGTTGTCACCTTCCTCTGAAGCTCTGCTGTGTTCCCACTTTTGTGGGAGCTTTAACAGAGCCCCCTAAGAAGCAAGCAGGGCGCTTATTGGTGAAGAGAGGAAAGATAGGGCTGGAGAGATGGCTCAACAGTTAAGAGTGTGAACTGCTTTTGCAGAGGACCCAGGTTTGGTTCCCAGCACATAGATTGTGTAGTTCACAACCACCTGTGACTCTAGCTCCAGGGGACCTGGCACCCTCTTCTGGTCTTACTGGGGATGGCATACACACACATTAAAATAATTACCAAAGTAATTTTTTCAATCTTAAAAAATGTAATTAAAATAGATCTTGAGAGAGAGGGAAAGAGGGAGCGAGGGAGAGGGACAGAGAGAGAGAGAGTGAGGGAGAGGGAGAGGGGGGGAGACATGACTTGCCTGAGGTCACATACCAGAATAATCCAAAGCCAGCGCTTCTGCTACAAGATACGGCTGTTCCTGTACCACCAGAGTGTGTCCTCAGGAGCCACCTGGGGCTTCTCCATCTGGGCCCATGCCACTAAGTCTCTCACTTCACAACACTACCTTCCATACTTCTGGGGAAGCACTCACTCTTGTTGACACTAAGGATCCCACAGTTCTCTCTGAAAAGATTGGATTTGGGGTCATGTCTGCACCTCCTGTTACACTGGTTTAGGTCATGGGGACACTCTTCAGAGGAGGGGAAACAGTCAAGTAGAATGTTGAGGAACATGAGCTCTAGCCAGGTTTCCCAAGGCTTCCATGCAAAGTCCCTGCTCCGGGCTTTACTACTTCTGTGGCTGTAAACTGTGTGCCTCATGTTCCTCAAACTCTACAAGTAGATGATGCTTATTCAGTTCATGGGTGGTTTTGAAGTTTGAATAATGTCCATCTTGCAGAATATTCTCTGACCTATACAAATGGATAAATATTGGCTGCAATACTAAGAGCCACCGCATGCTCTTGTGCCTCATTCCTAGCCATTTCGGGGGGGTTTCCTGCATTAACCAGCTCTGTGTTCTGTTTTTTCTCAGCACTTCTTCAGTGCCCAGCAACATACACCTAGGAGTAGCCCCTGTGGGACCGGGCTCCACTGTCACCCTGCAGACCATCCCGCTGACTACGGTGCTGACCAATGGGCCTCCTGCCAGTACTACTGCTCCTACTCAACTCGTTCTCCAGAGTGTTCCACAGGTGTCAACATTCAAGGACACCTTCACTTTGCAGGCCTCCTTCCCCCTGAACACCACTTTCCAGGAGAGTCAGGTTGCAACCCAGGGAGCCCCATTGATCCTCAGTGGCCTCCCTCAACTTTTGGCTGGGGCTAACCGTCCGAGCAACCCAGTAGCAACCCAGGTCATAGGTGCTGGCTCAGCAGGGCCTAGCTCTCAGCCCCCTGGGACTGTCATTGCTGCCTTTATCAGGACTTCCGGTGGCACATCAGTGCCAGGGGTAAAGGAGGGGCCCTTGAGGTCCCCCTCATATGTGCAGGGTGTGGTGACCGGGGCCCCTGTGGAGGGCCTGTTGGTTCCTGAGGAGACCCTGAGAGAGCTCCTGAGAGACCAGGCTCATATTCAGCCACTTCAGAGTCAGGTGTTTTCCAGGGGTTCCCATAACCTGAGCATTGTGGGGAGTCAGACTCTCTCTCCCCCTAGCCGCCCCACTGTTGGGCTAACCCCAGTGGCTGAACTTGAGCTCTCGTCAGGCTCAGGGTCTCTGTTTGTAGCTGAGCCTAGTGTGACCACATCCGGGAATCTGCTGACCACATCTCCAACCCCAGCCTCTTTCTCCCCTTTCAACCCTACTTCACTCATTAAGATGGAGCCTCATGACATATAAACAAAGAGAACAAAAGTATGGCCTACCAGGCAAAAGTGTGAAGCCTTTTCATGTAGCCTTAAGTAGAATACCTGCCCTTACATCTAGTGGGGTGTGATACATTTGATACCAAGTCCCGCAGGCCTTGTTCTGACATCACCATGATCAAACTATGCCCAGCTCAAGCATTCCTGGCTTCAGCCCATGGCCTTCAAGGGCACTAGGGACTAGATACGCTCTTAGAAGGATAATGGGTTAACTTAGTGATGGGGGTAAAACCCCAAGCCAGGAAATAGCTTGTGGACAGAACTGGTCAGAGGCCACATGAGAAGTTAAGCCTGGTCATACTTTGTTGTCTATATTCCCGACACAGGGAACTTACCATCCATATGTGAATATCTTCGTATGTCTTTGTGTGTACTTGTGGGTCTTCATTTCTTTGAGGAGGATGGGATGTAGATGTCAGGTCTTTTCTTCAAGTGTGTGTATGTGTGTGTGTGTCTGTGTATGTCCCCATCCATTCCTAGGTCAGCCACAGACATGAGGCAGTTTTAAGAGAAAGCGCTCTCGCTCTTGCTCTCGCTCTGGCTCTCGCTCTTGCTCTCGCTCTCGCTATCTGCTCTCTGCTCTCGCTATCTGCTCTCTCCTAGCCACAGTGCCATTCTGAGACTAGAACATACCAGTTTGATGCCCCCAGTCTGGAGACATGTCACAGACATGGAACAGGTCTAGGTAGGAGAGTTTCAATGGGTGGACACACTGAGGACATTGCTAAGGGACAAGAGGCCACATATATTAACAACATTGCAAGAGGGGAAAGGAGTACACCTAGCCTTGGGAGCAATTACTTGTCATAGTCATCTTGCTATCAGGCTGAAACCTGGAGTATTTTGCTGAAGGTTGTGGGGCAAAGCACTTACCTATAGTTAGCCCCAATTATAAAGTCCCTAGCCCAGCCCAAATGGATTGAATGTTTGGGACCAGGGCTTTTGACTGTGTAAGATCGGCCTTATGGTTAACAATGGCCTTTTTTGGCACAGTGCTCTTCATTCCCTATCTCAGGTTCCCTCTTCAGTCTGTTTGCCCTGAGATCTTCCACCTGTTACGAGGTGCTGAGGCTAGTGGGGTGGCAACCCAGCTCCAGCCACACACTCTATCCCACCCTCTTCCTCTCACAGTGTCCCTGAAAGACTTCTGGTGGACCGTTGCTTTTCATTTCCAGCTATCACACCTAACCCAGTTCTTTCTTCACCAAGAAGACGGGAGCTGGCACGAGTTCCCACAGCTCCTATCGGCATGACTTGACTCTTTGCTTCTCTTCTGTTTCTGCAAAGGGTTCTCCTAATGTCTCTTAAAGTCAGCCTCTCAGCTGAGGGCCTTCATCTCCCTTCCTTGAATCTGCTTGCCTCTCTCCTAACAGCTTTAGGGGCAATGTTGAGAGATGTTGGGCCCAGAAGCAACTCTAGGCTCTGGTGAATTTGGTTAATGTGAACCAGTGCTCCAGGACCCTTGCTATGTCCTCTGTGCCAAAGCACCTATTTGACCTAACTACCTCCCTGGCTGCTCTTCATTCTCCCCTACTGTTCTATCTCCTTCCTTGGGGGAAGGAACCATCTGTGGTTATGCAGGTGCGTTTGCTACGTTCCCGGCAGTTGGCACTGAAATGTCTTTGCTAATAAAATCAGCTTATGATGACAATCTCTTGATGGTTGGAAATAAGCATCTTGAGAAAAGGTCACAATTGTTGCTGTTGTTGTTGCTATTGTTGTTGTCATTGTATCTGGGTGTTAGTTTTTTGAGACAGTATCTCATGTAGTCCTTGTTGGCTTCGAACTTGCTATGTAGGTGAAGATGACCCTGAAATTCTGGTTCTTTGGTCTCCACCTTACCAGTGCTAGAACTGCAGTTGTGTACCACCATGCCAAGTTCATGTGTTTCTTTGGATCGAAGCCACGACTTTGTGCAACCTAGACAAGTATGCTTACCAATTGTGCTACACCCCCAGCTCAAACAGTTTTCATGAGCACAAAGGCACAGTGTGAGTTGGGGTGATCCTGCAGCAACCTAGAACCTAATGTCTGTATACACTTCCTAACTCCAAGGAAATTGTCTTAAGGCCACCAACAGTTTTTAATAGTCAAATCATCTTTTCCACAGTTCTCGGGCCCCTGTTAGCCCACACTTGCGGTGCCCTTCTACAGTGTGAGCTCCTTACCAACTCTTTCTATGTGAGTGTTCTCCAAGGGTCCCACCATTGTCATGGGCCGGTTATTTGAGATGAATTATTCAATCCAGAACCCTAGTGAGCTGCTTCCTGATTGTCTAGACTGGAAATCTCCGAGCTGTCCAGTGGCTACCTGCACTTGACCCTGTCCCTCTCATCTCCTGACACTCTCATCTCCTGACATCTGGCCTGTCTTCATTCCCAGAGCGTCCAGCCTGGTTCATGCTGCTCAGCTTCCCCCTTCCCAACACATGTCAGCACCCTGTCCAATGTGACTTCTCGGCACGTCCCATCTCGCAGGCCACTTACTCTGTCCTTCCTGTGCTAAAAGGCCTTCAGTGAGTCCTAGCCTGCAGGTAGGGCAAGTATTTACAACACTCATCCTCCAGGCTTTTCTAGAGGCCTAGCATTAATCCTTTAGTTCCAGAATCATGACATGTCCCAGGGGGTCCTGCAGGAATTGAGGAGCATGTGGAGAGCTGTGGGTAGTAATTCTAGAAAGATCTGAAGTTTGGTATCAGCCCTACCAGGAAGCAAAGCTCAAGTCTGTGGCCCTTTGCTATTGGCTCCTATCCAATATTCCCCATCCCACTCCAAGGTACTACTCCTAAAGGATTCCATGGTCTTTGAACTTGTTACTGCCGTACATTCCCACCTATGCTCTTTTTTTTTCTGGGTTCTGTTCAACTGAAATGTTCCCTCTCCTCACTAAGAACTAAAGATTGTGTCTCGAGACTGAGTTTAGTGGAAGCAGCCAGTTCTTAAGTTCAATTCTTAGACTTGTAACTGCCATGTGATGGGCAGGTGACTATAAACAGCCTGTGACATCTCTGTTGTAATCACAAACTGTTACGTAGACTTTAAATTTAGATCTGGATGTATTTAATCTGCTGTGTGTGTGTGTGTGTTACCTCCTGAGGGATAAGCGTCACTGTGACACCCACAAAACTGGGCACACTATCAAGTAGAAGAGCATCAATGGGTAGTTAGTGTGGACCTGATGAGAGATGGCCACCAAGCGGAGAGGTAGTTGATCCCTCCCCTCCTCTCCTCAGACAGTTTCCCCAGGTGCTTCACTGCCCTGGGCCTGCCATTCCTGGCTCAGCGCCCCATGGTACACCCTGTCCCCTATCTTAACACGCAAGATTTGTATGACTTTCAACATCTGATCCTTAAAGATCTCTGCTCGGGTTCTTTTCTACACAGTGTTAAACTAGCTAACCGGTTAACTAACCCTGGCTGACAAGAGTTATGGAAGAGGCTAGAGGAGACCCTCAGGACACAACTTTCTTTTAAGCAGAGTCAGGTGGCAACAATAGCCCTGCTTTTGTGATGGTCTAGTGAGTCAGGAGGCAAGGGATGATCCACATTTGCCAGCAGCTGATGTCTTCCCTTGTCTCGGTTCCCACAGCACTTTGTATATACCTCTCATTGTAGCACATTGTATGTAGTTCTTCCATTGTGTTTATGTATGGTTCCCCTCCAATAGACTGTGAGCTCCTCAAGGACAGGGGCTGTGTGCTAGTCAGTGATGTATCCCCAGCACCTAGCCACAGTGCCTGACACACAGTAGGTGCTCAATAAATGTTTATTGAAAGGATACATGAGTCCAGATTCCAGTTGTGCAACCTTCTGCCCTACATAGCAGCAGGAAGAAGACAGGTAGGCCAAGATGTACTCTGGAGCCATCACAGTGTTTTTCTTGTTTTAATGTAGGGGGGGCGGTGTGTCAGGGGATCTCATGTACCCCCAAGCTGACTATGTGACCACATATGACCTCCCCTGTTCTGAGATTACACACATTCATTGCTAAAATCCATTTATTTGGTGCCAAAGATGGAACCCAGAACTTCCTGTATGCTGGACAAATGCTCTACCAACTGAGCTACATTCCTAGCCCCTACCGCAGCGTTTTGACCCATCGTGTATCATTTCAGGCAGCTACTCCCTTTCCCCACGTGTTTATCTACCATTGGGTTCACCAGGAGCTCATGTTGCTTTCAACTGCGCTTTGCTGACAGGCAACTCCCAAACAACTGCCACTGTCTCCCTTCCAGCGACTGCATCAGCACTATTTCCTCATCCCTGGGTGGAACTGAGGTAGAAATGTCACCCTCCTCGGGCGGGGACAAACAAGTTTTTCTGACGGTCACAAGCTTGCTGACTGTACTCAGAAAGGCAGTTAGTTGCCTGGGGCTTTGGAGTCTCGGCCCAGGGTGAGCAAACTCCTTTGGGCTCCCAGCCACAGGAGCCTCCTGGCGCGTCTGCCCTGTGCAAAGATATAGAAGCCAGTAGCCAGCAGGTGGCGCTGTGGAGCCGGCGACAGTGGCTCGGCCAGGCGGAGCCTGGGAGGGAGGGGCAGCTAGGGCGTGGCTCGCCTCTCCCAGAGGAGCGGACTAGGCAGGCGTCTTCCTGTCCCTTGAACATGCTCCCTGACTCCGAACTTCTGGGAGGCTTTGGTTCCCGCCGACAACCTCCCTAGCTCTGGAGCTTCGCACGTCCCCCTGGGTCCCCCTCCCTTCCCAAAGAGAGTCCCGAAGTCCGCGGAATGTCTCTTCCTCATTGGCCAACAGCTCTCTGGCCCCGCCTCTAGTCTCGCGTACTCGCAGGTGAGCAAGAGGTTGCTGGCCTCCCTGGCTCGCTGAAGCCTGTCTAGAGCGGCCAAGGCATGCCCCGGGCTATCACCAACCCCTCGACAGACCCCAGATCTGATGCTCCTCTCTTTGGCCTGCCTTCAGCGACAATTTCAAGAACTACCACTTTTTCCCTTGAAATGGGAGAACGATCGAGGCATCTGTTACAGCCATTTGCCTGCAGCTTGAACCCAAGCTCCTGGAGGAGGGGTCCTGAGCCTGGGAGGAGCGAGCACACACCCAGTGGCACATCATTGCGGTGACCGTCCCCCGCCCCCAGTGGAAACTATGCCTCTAGGTGGGGGTACATACAACCAGGCCTGTCCTCCTGAATCTAGCATGCCTGACTCTTTGAAAACGCGTCCAGGATGCCTTGGGCATACCTGACTCTTTGAAAACGCGTCAAGACCCGACACAATAAAATGCCCAACAGACGTTCTAATTAGACCAGATTATGAAAGGGGCAACTTACTGCCCAGTTCACCCCTCCTCTACTTTATATCATCTAGGGATCAGGTATGAGAATCCAGAGGCTGGTAGGGCTGCTTTCAACACCAGCAGAGGACCACCCCGGCAAGATCGACATTAACTGACCTTGGCACAGAGGCAGAATTAACTTCAGCGAAACCCTTATTTTGTTCTCTAAAGTCTCATCTATCCAGAGTTTGGTAAACTGAGCATCAACCGGCAAGATCAGGCTCTCAAGCAAGGTGCACAGTGAGCAGTATTAGCTCTTTCCTACCCCACACAGGAAAGAACTCCAAGAACTTTTTAAGAGGCCACCAGGTGGGGCTGGAGAGAGAGCGCAATGGTTAAGAGCTGGACTGGCTGTTACTCCAGTCCAGAAGACTGGGGTTCAATTCCCAGCACCCACATGGCAGCTCACACCTGTCTATTACTTCAATTTCAGGGGATCTCAAATTGTGCTCTCAATCCAAACGCCATTCCCTGATAACTCTTTATACTAAGTATGCACCAGCCAGACCATCTGTTCCAATCACCCAGGTGCCCTTGTCCTGCCCTTTGAGCTTCGACAGCATCCTGGGCCTATCTGAATACTGTTACGCCATACCATAGCGTCTGTAATTTATTGACATGCTGGACTTCTGAAATGCAAGTTCCTTTTTGCTATTCTGAGAAAAGGTCTCATCTGCGTAGTGCAAGCTGACCTCAAACTTTCCCACCCCTGTCCTTCAGAGAAGTGGGATTACAGGCATACATTGTCATACCTTGCTGCTGTTTTGGGGACAGGGTCTTGCCATTTTATTGCAAGTTTCCGATGGAGGATGGCCCTGAAATTGGAAGCACTATGGGCTGTTTGGGAGAACGTGTGATCTGAAAGTGGGGAAGGGAACAGCAGTGAGGTAGATTAGTGTTGGGCCTCTAAAAAGATGCCGCTCCTGTATCTGGGCAGTCTCAAGCAGAGACGAATTTCCGAGGTCTGGTTAAGGAGAGGGGCTTAAGTTTTACTTCTGGAGAATGACTGGACTCCCAAGAAGCCAGACATATTCCTCTGGCCTGCCCACTCAAGCCGCAGTGAGAGGCCCCAAAGATACAGAGCTTAAAAGTTTGTAGGATCCAGACCTTCACAAAATCTCTCACTCAAAGAGTAGCAGACATTCTGGAGCCTGCAGACAGGATTTGAGCTTGTGTTTACCGAAAAGTGGGAGTAACTGTAAAACTAGGGACAGGTGTCTCACCTTTACAGCTAGGTCACTGGAAACTAGCACCATGGACAGCCAGCACTGCTTAGGTGGGCAGGTAAGGCACTGGTACAAGAGCGAGGGTGCTGGCAAGGGTAAAGACAGGCTGGGGAATTCCACAGTGCAGCGTGAACAGTCTTGGGCATGAAGAGGATCAGCAGGCAGATGCTCTCTGACTGTGTTAGGGAAGAAGATCCCACCACCACCCAGCAGCCACAGTGGGGGAGGGGGGCTCCCCTGTTCCTCTTACTCCAGCTGCAAACAAGGGATGCTCCTTCCACATCTCCAAATCAAGGCAACCCCAAGTTGGACGATTTGACCCTCAGGTGGACGGGGGCCCTGGGACATGCCCCTGTGTTTTCTACATTCCCACCCCAACATAATGACCCAAAACTCTATATTCTGCCTTGCCTTCACCCACTGTGTCCCTCGTGACCACTTAACTCCCCCAAAACCACAGGGAAAAGAATGAGGACAGGAAACAAAGGCCCTGACACAAGTTTTTCAGTATGCATTTTTTGACTCCACAGCCAGTTGTTTAAAAAGAAACATAAAGGGCAGCCAGAGAGTACACACCAAAATGCAAAACAAAGTAAAGGCAAACAGAAAACAAAATAAACCACACAGTATCATAAATCCCAACAAAGAAAATTGAAATCCAAACCCCCTCAACTTTATATATATATGTATACATATATATATTATATATATAATTTGTTGTTAAAAATGGAAAACAATTGTTCAAAACCAATTGGGCAGGATGGTGGAACTGTCCTACAGAAGGGGGCCCAGAAAATCCCCATGGGAACAAAAATCACACAGTTAAAAGAAACAATGCTCCTAAATGGGTCAGGAGCCTCCAGAGAACAGATTGTCCCATCCCCAAACTGGCTTTTTTTTTTCTTTTTTTTGTGTCTTTTTTTCCCATTTTCTTCTTTTGTTGTTGTTTAGCACCTGTACAATAAAACTGTACCATCTCCATCCAGAGCCAACCACGGCAAGGCCCTCCTGCCTTTGGATGGTACACACACTCTACAAGGATTTCTGGGAAAAAAAGCAATTGGTAGAAAAATAAGAAGAGCGGGAAAGACAATGGCATGGAGGGGTGGGGTCATGGAAACAGGGCAAGCTCATTCTCCCTCCCTCACTTGCTCCTGTAACAGATCTAACACTAGGCTTCTGAAGGCCCACAAGCTACTCACTGAGCCACAAGTCCCCAAGTGGATGTGGAGACAGACTAGAGACTAGTCCCTGCCCTAGCCTAGTCAGTCCCAGGGCCCTTTACAGGTTCCAAAGGAAAATCAGGGGCAGGCGGAGGAGAGCAGGGGGGGGGTGCTGAGTCTGTGGTAGGGATGGCAAGGCAAAGGCTGGGAGGTGAATGAGACACTATCTCAAGATGGGGAGCCCAGGGTAGGTAGGGCGAGGCAAGGAGGGGAGGGGTACAGGGCAAAAGAGGCCAGGATAACTTCATACTGAGCACTCTGAGGAGCAGTGTGAGGGAAGCACCCTTAGCCCCCCGGCCCATTCTCAACCTGCCTTTAGTAGAGTAACTTGGGAACTCCCGCCCTAGTAAACACTAACCTCAAGATGGCAGAGTGGCTACAAAGGGCAGGGGTGTGGCCAAACTGGCAGGGGGTGGGGGAGCACCAAAGGCCAGGGATTTGCCCCCAGCCCCCCAGCTCTGGGCCAGCAGCAGCCAGGATGTTCCATCATTTGGTGATGTCCCCCATCTTCCTCACCCTGCTCCATCCCCAACTGGGGAAAGACAAGCTGGGGTCAATTTTCTTAGAAGGGAGCACCCCCAAAGCTTCTCCAGAAAGAAAAAGGAAAGGAGGTAAAGAAAGTCCCTCAATACAACAAGCTGTCTCAAATCATCACAGTGATACAGACTTAGCAGAAACCATTGAAACAATACAAATTAAATACTAATAAAATAAATACTATGGAAGACAGAAGAGTACAGGGAGATAGGGAGGGGCACTCAGAGATTTGGGCTCTTCTCATTTCTCCTTAGGACAGGCCACAGCCACCCAGGCCCAC